ACTCTTTCTCTACTTATACCAGTTCTCATCCCTTTGCCCCTTCAGGCAAAGAAGAGAGATCTAAAAAATTTATTTTATTTCACAGGTGATTCTAATTCTCAGTACTTACACCAAGAAACAGATAGATACTTGCCAGAGTAGCTTTCTTTAAGGCATCCCTTTTGTATTTTCTCACTCCCTCTCAGAACCACAATTGCTGTGTATTTTTCCCTTACACAAGTGCTCTATTTCAAGCAGAAATATATTTGCAGATCTGATTTGATGATTTAGCTATAATATCACACTTTGCAATCCAATTTCAAGACAACCAGCCTTCCAATCCCATTAATCAAATGTTGTACTTAGTACTGATGACTGCATGAGAGGGAGGACAGTTTTGATTTAAAATCAGTGAATCAAAGGCCATAAGAAAACATGATGCTAGAGCTCAACAGCCTCAGCTACAGATGTAGGTTCAGGAATTAGGCTAATGCTCAATTACAAATTAAAAAAAAAAAAAAAAAAAAGAAATATTTCACAGATTCAAAAATTCACAGGTTATAAAGCCAAAAGGACTACTACAACAACGTAATCTGACTTCCTGCGTTAATAGAGGTGAAACAGTAATTTAGGCAAAAAAACTTATTGCTTCTCTTTACACAATAGCATCTATTTTAGGAAGATTCAAGAAAAGGACTATTATGTAGTTTCACAGCACTACATAACTTGTCACAAGTAATATTTACTCTCACAGTGAAAATGTGCACCTTTTTACTAATTTGAATTTCTCTAGCTTCAGCTTTCAAAACAAGATTTTATGTCTTTTCCTGATAGGTTCAAGTTCAAAATAGTCTTGGAATTCAACAGTTGTCCAATTTTTAAACCATTTAACACATTTTCCACTCATTTTTTTGTATAGCGCCTATTTTTGAAGTACTGAAGGAATTATCTGTAAAAACCAATATATGAAATAGATAAATCAAAAATATTAGTAAATTGTTACTAAATCTTAAGAAACACGACAAGTTCTTCAAATAGGCAGCAACAACAAATAATATATGGATACTAAAGTAACTGAATAAAAAAACCAGAAAAAATTAATTCAGGAGATGTTTGTAATTGCTTATAAGAATTGAACAGTGGATAAACCAAAAGATGGTGTTTGCATTATTAACTCTGTGCTATGTTTTTATGGTGGTATCTAATCTTACTGGGAGACCAATCATGTCTGGAACACACAGCAGCATAGAAAATAATCCCTACTGAAACAGATTATTACCTGAACAGACAAGACTATAGGTCAGGAAGCTTTATTACCTTTATTTTACCAGAGGAACAGAATGAGTAAAGTTCTCAGATATGTTTAAGAAGCTAAATAGCAGATAAATCTGTCTAAGTAGATAAACAGCAGATAAAAAAAAAATCTAAGAAATAGATAAATCTTATTTATCTGATAAGTAACTTGAGCAGGGCAACCCAAAACATCTGTAGCAGAACCAAAAATATATGAGAGACATCAGTCCAAATCCTTAATAACAAAGACATTCTCCTGCTCATCACACATCGCTTTTCCTATTCACTTGTTAGTATTCCAGGGTCCTGTTGTTTTTGTCACAGTTTAAATTTCACATAGTACCAACGGGCATATATTTACATAGACACCTGAACTCTACTGATTCTTGTGAGAAGTAAGCAAGCAAATACCTTCATATGATCTTGCCCACAGAGTCTTTTTCTATCCAGAGCCTAAGAACTGCCAGACATGCATAAAAAAAAATTACAAAATTCCTCTCACAGGAACATTTAGCCACATTGGATGGAACTATGCATGGCCCTTATACACCAAACAAAATAAAAAAGCAATTAAAGACTGAATAGGAGATCCAAGGCACAAAGGCAGGACTAATCTCTCAGGATCCATCTGTTTTCAAAGCTACTTTAGAACTACTTTCTACCAATTATTTACCTTCAGGAAATCCAGAAGTCCTACTTAGAGCTTCCAGAACAACAATATGCTTGTCCCAGCTCTGCCATCTTCCCCACACAGGAAAAACAAATGCCTTCTTGACTTATTTGCTGAACAATAGTATAGGAAAGGAGAGAGAAGGAAAGGGATTCTGAAGAAAAAGTGGAGAACAGAAAACCAGAGAACCTTGAGGGAAGAAACTGTCCTGGGGAGAAGGGAGGAGAAACGGGATCAAATGCAGCCCTTGGCATGCAGGGAAAAGAAATGGGAGGAAGGAAAGGGAGGAAAGCACTTATTTCAACCTGTCTTGCACTCTGAAAGCAGACAGAACAGAGAACAGCGATACATTCGTACGAAGAGCAGAAGCAATCAATATATTCCCAGCTCTGGGAAGGAAAGGGAAAGACAGCAAACACCGGCACCTTGACTGGAGATGAAGAGAAATGGGTTTGCAGGGCAAAGGATTAAAAAGCAAGATGTATGCAGAGTAACTGGCATTAGGAAGAGGGGCTTACTGAAAAGAGATGCTTGGAGGATGATCCTAACCAGAGGGTCCTGGGAGATATATGTGCAGTAAGTTCAGTTACAGAAAGAATGGAACACATGGCCTTGGGGTCATCTGAGTGGCCCAACGTGCTAGCATTTTCACTGCCTGCCTGCCTAGCAAGGCAGCGAACTAGATGAAGTCCAGAGGACCTACACTTCCATACCTTCTGAAAGCTTCTCTGACCTAGACCTAAACCTACAGAAAAATCCTAAATCACAACAAAACTGTCATGCTGCAGAGGATGTTCTTTGAAACATGTCAGCATCGTTCCCGGAACACCCTGACGCTCAACCAATCTGCTCCCCACTTCACTCTCAGGGCCACTTCTGCTCTGCCAACATTTGTCCAACTGAGGAATGACATATGGAGTCTTGAGAAGTAAACCTGGTGCTCTTACAGGGCAGAATGGCCATTTATTGATGATTTAAGTGCTTTCCTCCAGGCAGTGGATGACTCAGTACCTTGTCAAGAGGTAAAACACATTGGTCTAGCAGGTCTAGCGGAAAGCAATTCTTTCCTATTCAAAAAACGTACCTATGTTCCTGCCAGTGTAAAATCTTGACTCACCTTAAGCCATTGTAGCCCATCTTAATAAAAGTCTATTCAGACAAATACACTGGATATGCAGTCAATGATTAATGGCACTATCTGGCTCTGGTGAAGCACTGTTCATTAGCAGATTTCATGAGTGCTTTGTGTATTGTATTGATATCAATATCCTGAAAATTAAAGGGAAACTGAGGCACGACACGGTGAAATCATTTGCCAAAGATCACCCAGCACGCTCCCCATATAACCTATGACACAGTCAAAGCTTCCTCAGCGTCAGCACTGTTATAGGAAAGGAAGGCAGAACATGTCAGCTTCTCCATGGAAATTAACTGCACACACAGTCCTCTTCTGCAAGCGCTCCTGGCAAAAAGCATGCTCATGGGCAATTATCCAACACTGGCTGAGGTGCTGTAAGTTTATGCTCTTTCCTTCCCTGAAGAAACTGGCTTGCACACTCATACCATGGTAAAGACAATCCGTAATTAAAATTAGGAGCAAAATTCCTTTGTATGTGAGCTGACCTTGTCTTTGAAATCTACAAAATGCACAGTCACAGCTAAGGCATTCAGTCTAATCCTCTCCATGCCAACATAAAATAATGTGATTGCAACCTTGATCTCAGATTAAATGAAACTAATTTTTAAAGACTCCTACATTTTTTGATCCTGTGGCATTACTACAGGTCACAATTACTGTAAGTTAATTTAATTCTCTGTCTCATTGAATGATCTAATTTTATTATATCTGATTTCTTAAAACTAATTGTTTCACTTGCAACTTGCATCCTGTAATCATTTCTTATACAAAAGAAAGTACCAAATGGAATTTTCTTTAACACGAAAAAAGAGTAAGTCTTATGTATGAATCCACAAAAAATATGGCTACCGCATACCACGCAATACTGTTATACAGCCACAAAGGAGGGGATACATCTGACTAAATGCAGATATCTGTAGCATTTGTGTCTACAATTACTGTAGTTGTTTAGACTTCCTTTACAGTCAGCGGACAGCACTGATCACTTCTGGGTGCACTTTGTCTCATCTCAAAGTAGACCTCCAAACAGATCAGGAGAATTGTACCCTAAAAGCACTCATCTCTTGTAAGTCACTACAAAAGTAGCCTTGGATGACTAGCCTATATGTACATAGCTGCACTGCAGACATCTAAAGTGAGGTGAGATGAATTCAACTGCATTGCCCAAAAAGGCCACACAGAGACTGATATCCCACTCTCCCACAAAAGTTCTGTACTAGTAAGTAGTTCCCAAGAATTTCTGAATTGTGGAGATATAAAGCTGGTGTGACACCATCCTTTTCTATATACACAGTCATATATTGT